AAACGTTAAAAATTAAAGTTACTACTACTACGTTAAGTTATTAGTAAACTAAAAATTAAAGGTTTTAAGTTTAGGTAAGTTAATTAGTAGTGTAACTAATATATATATATATATATATATATATGTATGTACCGCACTATTTAAAGTTAATAGAAGAGAGGTGATTGTGGCAGTATAATATTACATAGAGACTTGAATCATGTTTAAATAAATTTTAAAAAATAGAAACTTGTGCTCATCAACATAAGTCACTTATATTGGCAAAACCTGTCATATCAAATATTGATAAAGCTACATACACAATAGCCCCCCAATGGCACAGCGGTATGTCTGTGAACTTACAACACTAGAAACCGGGTTTTTCGATGCCCGTGGCGGGCAGAACAAAGATAGCCCTTTGTGTAGCTTTGTGCTTAACTTCAAACAAAACATATGCAACAGATGCTGCATTGTGTTTTAATTTTCATTCTTAGTACTTAGAGGCCTGGAATAGCCTGGTGGTTAGGGTTATCAACTTGCAATCTGCAGGTCATGAGTTTGAATCCCATAGTTATGGTCAATTCCACTTTTTGTTGGTAAAATAGTAGTCCCATGGTTGGTGGTGAGTGGTGTTGACTAGCTGCCATCCCTCTAGTGTATTATTTCTAAATTAAGGATGGCTTTTGCAAATAACCCTTGGGTAGCTTTGTCCAAAATTCCAAAAATATATTTAGTACTTAGTGTGTTTAAGGCTTAGAAAAATGCTACTAAACTTAACAAACTGTTATAATAAACATCCAAATTAATCTTATTATGAATACAAGTCTGAAAAAAAAATAGAAGTAAAGAAGAAGAAGAAAAAAATAAAGAATAAAAACTGATGTTAAAAGCCCTATCACGTATTGTTAAAATACATTTAACTGCATTTGAACTTCAGTAATTTTTAATAAAAAATGTAATAGAGCATATCTTGCATATTTAATATCAACAGAGCTTTAAAGTTTCCTAAGAAATGACTTGAGCAGCAGGTTTTTTTAAATAATTAAATTTTAGGTTCTAGCTAGATCTCGTGCACTAGCCAAGTGCTCTACCAACTGAGCTAAAGGATTGACTCCTATTGCTTGCTAATGTAGCAGTTTTTAACAACTCAAACTACTATAGGTGATTTTACCTTAAGAAATTTAAAGATGTTTGAATGGATGTAGAAACTTTTATAACAACTACAATTCAAATACAACTGAGCCTAGTGGTAACAGTGCTGGTTTCCTTAAATCTCCATAAAAAAGAGTGTGTACATGTTAGACACAACATCAGTATACCTTTCACACAGGAATTGTTTTGGTAAAACCTGTTTTCTACAGTTCATGATGAATAAAAAAACTCCCATGGAAGTCTGCTTATACTGAAATAAAGCATTAACTGATGTTTTTTTTATTATGTTTCTTGAACATATGTTTCAGTAAAATAAAAGCAAAACAAAATTACATGCAACATTTAATGGATAATATTTTTCTTACATTGTTTGTATTTTTTGGAGATTTTATATTGCATGACTTACTTAACTTATAAGATCAAAAACTGATAAATACTAGAGATCTGTTTCTCATCATAGTAGTTGATATGATACTCATCTAGATACTGATGCTGCAATATGATACTCATCTAGATACAGAATTTTACCAATGGTTTATTACAAAGTTTGACAGTTTTGTCTGTAATTTATTATCTATATTACTAACATTGTTTTATTTAAGTACTTCACACTTTTTAGTGCTTTTTCAAATTCTCAGGTTTGATCAACTAAATGGCAGCTGGCAAGAGAAGTAAAATAAAAAAGTTAATATCTATCTATTTTGTTATTATTAATTTGTTATGATACTTTGCATGCAATGTTTTTGATAAAAGAAATGAAGACGACATGTAGTACCCGTTTGTTTGTAGTTAAGCACAGAGCTACACAATGGGCTATCTGTGCTCTGCCCATCACAGGTAGCGAAACCTGGTTTTGAGCATTGTAAGTCTGCAGACCTAATATGTAGTACTCAATATTCATCTTCCTTTATTGAACCATTAATTTTTAGCAAAAATTCTTTATTAGAGATTCTGATTTTTTGTGTACAAAAGACAATGTTTACTGACAGCTGGCCCGGCATGGCCAGGTGATTAGGGCGCTCGACTCGCAATATGAGGGTTGCGGGTTCAAATCCCCGTCACACCAAACATGCTCGCCCTTTCAGCCATGGGGGCATTATAATTTGACAGTCAATCCCACTATTCGTTGGTAAAAGAGTAGCCCAAGAGTTGGTGGTGGGTGGTGATGACTAGCTGCCTTCCCTCTAGTCTTACACTGCTAAAAACAAACAAATACTGAAAGCTTGCCAAATTTCATGAAGATACATAAATATTTCATATAGTATTGGACAATGTATTGATACAATCATATCATGGCTTTACGATATGAAATGAGTATCGTATCGCTGTATCACCACACCTTTAATAAATACGATAGCTCCATTTAGGTTTGTAGCTAAACACTAGCTGGAAGCTATAAACATTTTAATTATTTACATTATATTCTGTTCTAGACTTTTTTTCAAACCTCATCTTGTATAAAAAAAACCTTTATTCAAGGTAAAATCAGAAAAATTTTAAAAGATATGCTGTTGATTCTAAAATTAACTAAATTTGGCCCAGGATTTATTCCGTGTACAGTAGTGTTTAAAGTACTTTATATTCTGAAAAATGTGTGAATATTCTGAGAAGAACCTATATTGCTTTTTGTTAAAATATAGTTCAAAGGACACAGCAACCATCATTAGTGTAGAGGGTCGTAATTTTCCTGTGGATATTCACTACGTCTTTGAGCCAGTTCCTGATTATGTTCAAGCAAGTGTGGACACTGTCATTAAAATTCACAGATTTGAGTCAGGTGGGGGTATTCTGGTGTTTCTTACAGGACAGGAAGAGGTGGAACACGTTGTGCGATTGCTAATGTAAGTGTACTTACCGTTGAGGTATTTTACTGTTCTTGTTCATTGCTATATGTATGTAAATAGGTTTTTAATAGTTATTTAGAAGTCCATCATACTTTAAAAATAAAGATTTTATACTAAACTTTGAAGTTCTATCTAAAAATAGTGTTTAAAATTATGTATGATGAAATGATTAAATTTTTTACTAACAGTTTAAAACTTTTTGGAAGGTAGAGAGAGATGTACAGAAAGTTCAAAGTTTAGTGTCATGGAGAATTTAGCATAAAATAACATGTAGAGTTGATTTTATATAAGTTGGTATTTTTTAGCCATTATTAAGATATTAAAATGTTTCTTTTTGTTGAGAGTGAAAAACAATTTCTATAGCAGGATTTTTAGTGTAGATAAAACTTACCATGAATGTTTTCAACTACAGTTATTATGTGTTAAAGTTAATTCTGGTTGTTGACCTTAACAGAGACAGTGACTATATTTGGATTGCCGGTAAAGTAGAACTATTTCTTTATATTTTATAAAAATTTCAGTGATTACGCCAGAACTTTAAAGAAAAAGTCAACAGATAGAAAGCTTCTCATTCTTCCTTTGTATGCTGCTTTACCAGCCACAGATCAGGTATTATGTTTTTTAATACAAATAAACTTTAATAAGCTGCAGTATTTTTTTCTTCAATGTAATAGCACAGTTAATATCTTAAATACAAAGTGGGTCAGTTTAATGCACCTTGGAAGTGTGAAACTATTCATACTATGGCTACGTTTACTACCTGTATCTTTACAGGATTTGGCAAGCTTTTAGTAAGTGTGATAAATCTTATGTCTACAAAAATGCAGTTTTTTTTAATAAAGCATTTCTACTAAAGATTTGAATTTACTAAGCCTTTACTGAGTGAAAAAGTGTTTTTTATGCTGAGGATAAAAATACTTCTTATCATCTTACAATTTTCATATTTCACTTGCATAATTTCTAGAACATTTTACATGAATATTAAAAGTTATTTTTAGTAAAACTTTATATTTTATCTGTTATTTACTAATTGTAGCAAAATCATCAATGTGCAGTGAAGTGAAAAGTTGAAATATATGAAATAAAATGAATAATACATTTTCTTCTTTGAATACATCATTTATTGCCACATCTTCAATCTGATTATCTTCACAATTTCAACTGTTAACTTTTTCACATCTGTTTTATTGCTTGACATTGTTCTGTGGAAGTTATTATCCTGTGAAATCCAACAAGACACAGTGAAAGCTAATATCTATTACACATACCCTCCACACACAGATAAAAGTAAATAAACTGATTATGTTACACGTAGTTCGAGCTTGGGTTTCTAAGCTCATAAAGTTTTGAATTTTATTTTTGTTACCTAAACTAGGAAGTTTTACATTTTTTGCATTTTAGCTACTTTTCAGATATACATAAAAATCAATAAATTTAGCTCTTACTTCAGGCATTGTGGCCTGTTTGCCTTTGAATACTGTGCTTTGTTAATCATATTCTTTCCTCACTATATATGTTGTCTAAAAATAATTCATGTAACTGTAAAATATGAATTTTAAAACAAAAAATATATATAAGGCACTAGAATAGAATGTTCCACAACTAGTATAATTTAGCTGGTCTTTCTAACTAAGCTATAAATACTTTAAAATAATTCTGCTGCTGTTAGGGGTAATGTCTTTACTTAATATATGTTAAAGTGCTGATGATAATTATGATCTTTAACTGACAAATAATATGGTCTTAATATTTCTGTACATTATGATATGCTCTTTCTATTGGTTATAAACATGCCCATTAGACAAGTAAATGCAGGAGTGAAATGCTGCCAGTACTCACCGCTACTGAGTACCGGAACTTACTTTTTAAGGCAGTACTCTAGTACTGGGACTTATTTCAGCTGCTTTGTTGTTTTTGTTTACAGGTAGATTTTCTTTTTCAAAAGCAGGTCCACTTCACACGATGAGTTCCCCCACCTTTTTTTTTTTTCACCCCTGAGTAGATGTGATGTTGATTGGTTGTAATCCCAGTAGCCTATTTTTAATGTTAGAAGAATCTGATAGAGAGAAATTGAAGCTAGATGACATCACAAAGAGTGAAGATTGAGAATATTTCTATTATTTCGTTTTGAAATTAAAAAATGAAAACTATTTTTTGATGCTAAGTTTATTGATATATATTGATAATAAAGTTGTTTAAATTTTGAATGTAATTCTGTAAAAGGTCATGACATGTCCATTTTGACCCTGTTTTACTAAAAGAGTTAATCATCTGGGCTGAGTTAGTACGGTGTTTACTGTGACAGACCATAGATCTGTGGTTCCAACATTCATGTTCCAAATATTGGGGCTATGGGTGCATCATAAGGGTGACAGTCAAATCCCACTATTAACCCTGCCTCCACAGACATTTTGTTCTGTGCATGTAATGTGGTTTTTTGAGTTACATTCAATATTTAATTATTTTCTTTTCATGGTGTACCAATAAATATAGCATAAAAACATAACTAATAATTCATATTTTAATAGTATATACATTTTAAGTTCTTACTTTTATGTTGCAATATTACAAAAATATTTTGAATTTCCCCTAGTGTGAGTATTGTGACATTTGCTCTCTTGACATCCCTTCTTTAATTTATTTACCACCCCTCCAAGAAGTATTAAATTTAATGTATATTACTTATTATAATAGCATCATCACTCAGGCAAGTATAATTTTCATAGCCTTCAATCTTATTTAGTTACAGAGCTATCAGAGAGACAATGAGACCCAACTTGCCATGCTCACCTGTCACATCCTTTGTTTCAGAAATTTCCAATAGTTGTCTCTGACATTCATTACTATATTATTTATAATCAATAGCCAAGGTTTCCATCTATCAATTTAAGTATTATATTACGTTGTTTTTCTTAAAGAGAATTGTCAATTTTGCTTTAATTTCAAGTTTGATTCCTACAGGAAACACATTGACGAGCTTAGATGAAGTTTTAATGGCTGTTGTTGCATAGTTAAAAAGCCTGAAAAATTGTGATAGATATGAGACTTAATGTGCCACTTAATGTAGCCACAAAGAATATCAAAGAAGTTTATGGAAATGTTTTGAAAGTTCGTAAGTATCAACGATGGTTCAGCAAATTTTTTTCAGGTGACTTTAACCTTAAAAACTGTGATGGCAGGGGCCGACACGTTGGAATTGATATTGATGCTCTGAAGACACTTGTTAAGTCTAACTCAAGGCAACACACTTGTGAAATGGCCCTGAAATTGAATGTCTCTCATTAAGTAATATGTAAAAATCTAAGGAATATGGGAAAACTCCATAAAAAGGGTGTTCGTGTGCCTCATGAACTCTCCAATGATTATCATTTCAAACGTGTGAACATTGCTTCGTCTCTTCTGGCACGTAATGCATGTGAACCATTATTAGACAGAATTGTCATCGGTAATGAAAATGGATTCTCTATGCGAATATTAAACGCCAAAAACAATGGCTCAGTCCAAGACAAAAACCACTTCCGACCCCAAAACCTGTACTTCATCTACAGAAAGTGATGCTTTGCATTTGGTTGGATATCAAAGGAGTAATTCATTTTGAACGCCTCAATCTACAGCGAACTGTCAATGCAGAGAACTATAGTCAGCAACTGGAACATTTAAATCAAGCCCTTCATCAGAAATGTCCTTCACTCGTTAATCAGAAAGATGTTCTTTTCCGCGACAATGCATGTCTACATGTGGCACATTTGATGCAACACAAGATTATGGAGTTGGGTTGGGAAGTTCTCCCCCACACACCATATATGGCACCATCAGAATACCATCTTTTTCATTCGCTGCAACACAATCTTAGTGGGAAAATGTATGCAAATGTGGAAAGTGTTAAAAAGTACATCAACA